TTATAGCTTCAAGAGAGGCCAATTATATAAAAATTCCTTCCAAGGCCCGCTGGCCCGGTGCTTAGGAGCATCATAAGCTAATTATGTCATGAGAGAAGTCCACGAAAGGATATGCGACAATCACTCGGGCGCAGATTCTTTGGTGCTGAAGTTGGTACGGGTAGGATATTACTAGCCTCGCATGGAACAAGACGCCAAAGACTTCGTACGAAAATATGATAAGTGCTGACGCTACGCACCACTAGTACACCAACCGGTAGAACCCTTACATTCGGTTCTGTCCCCATGGCCGTTCATGAAATAGGGGATGGACATCGTTGGATCGCTGTCACCGGCTCCCGAAAAGGTAAGGTTTCTTTTAATTCTGACTGACTATTTTTCTAAATAGATGGAAGCAGGTCCTTATCAGAAGATCGTAGAACGCAAAGTAGTCGATTTCCCGTGGAAAAATATAATTTGCAGGTTCGGAATACCAAAAGAGATAGCATGCGACAATGGGCCACAGTTTATCGGTGCCAAAGTTACAAAGTTCCTTGAAGATTTGAAGATAAAGAGGATCACATCTTCTCCTTATCATCCGAGCACAAACGGTCAAGCGGAGTTAACAAACAAAGTGATTATTCAAAACCTCAAGAAAAGGTTGGAAGCAGCAAAAGGCAAATGGCCCGAAGAATTGCCCGGAGTTCTATGGGCCTACTGAACAACGGCCAAATCGAGCACAGGAGAAACTTCGTTTTCCCTTGTGTACGGTGCTGAAGCCCTAATCCCGGTGGAAGTGGGTGAACCCACTTTGAGATATTTTTGGGCAGATGAAGAATCAAACAACGAAGCAATGTTAATCAACTTGGATATGCTCGAGGAATGCGGGACTTGGCGCCTATAATAATGGCAGCTCAAAAGCAGATAATGGAGCGATATTATAATTGAAGAACCAACATCCGTTATTCAAAGTAGGAGACTTGGTTCTGAGGAAAATCCAAAATACCCGGGAGCTCAAAGCGGAAAATATGTGCTGCACACTTTTTCCCTTCGTTCAGTTTTTGTCCCAATGGGTTTTTCTGACAAGGTTTTTAATGAGGCAGCGATAGAAAGCATACTACGAAGACAACAACAATAAGACCTTTGATAGCAAGGCAAACAAACAAGTTTCCACTCGGGGGCGGTTAGGTAATCTTCGGCCTGATAGCAAATTCCCACTGGGAAGTTAAGTTTGTTACCGAACAAAGGTTACCCGGTCGTTCACGAGCACAAACCACTAGAAGATTATTAGATAGTCTTTTGCTCGATAGCATGGATTCCTAAGGGGAAGTAAGGTATGTTGCCGAGTTAAGGATTATCTAGCAATTTATTGGTGGAATATTTGAAGGCATAAGACTTCCACTGTTCCAATTCGCATTTTTCGCATTCGAAAACTGGGGGGAATGATATGAGGATAGGTAACATTGATTGCCACGTCAACCGAAAAACGAAAATCCAGAAAAAAAATGCATCATCGAGACCTAGGAGTGCGTAGCCAACCCCGTAGAAACAAATTGTACAAGATAGCCACAAGTAATGAATTTATTTTTTTAGCATAATAAATGCTTGTGTACTTTTGAAAATAGAAGAAATTATATGAAATAAAATCCTATTGTTTTTATCTTGTTTCTTGTTTGAACGATGAACTAACTTTGTCATTTGAAAGTTAAACAAGTACTTTAAATATTAGTGCCATAATGAACAGGAGACGTCTTCTTCAAGAGCACCGTAAACATAAGAGGGCCCTCTCTTATGAAAACCCTCACATTAAAGGGTTAGTTTCGGAAGAACATGTGCCCAGAATCAAAATGCCTTCGAGGAAAAATGCACCCGAAGACGTACACGAAAGGACGCAAAAAGTAAATTTGCAAAAATACTTATAGAAACCGTCAAGTAAAAGGGATAATGCGTGGAACCAAAGTGCTTCAAGAAAAATGCATTCGAGACTACACATAGTAAAGCGCAAACAGAAAAATGTGCACAGAATTCTTAAGCAAATGCAAAGGTTAAAGACTTGTATGGAAACGAAAGTAAGACTTAAACAATACTTGAGCAAAAATATGTCTTTATTTACAAGAACGTACCAAAACGGTAAAAGTACAAAATGGGAAAAAGAAAAGAAAAGCTAAACTACAGTGTCTCCGGAACCAGGAGGAAGAGAAGTGTTCGCATCTCCGGGAGAAGTAGGTGGGTCCACCGATCGCTCGACGTTTTCCCTAGTCTGGTTTTCAGCATCGTTGCTCTCCAATTCCTCTTCAGTTCCCGAAAACTCTGAACCGAAACCAGAAGAACCAATAACATCAGACTTTGCTGGGAGTCCATTTTCGGCAGCCAACTCAAGCTCTCGGGCCTTAGCATTTTCGGTATCATAGTCAATAATACCTGCTTTGGCCTCTTCCAAAGTTTTTCTCCTCATGCTATACATGGCATAAGTTTTTTCGATAACGAGGGAAGCCGTTCGGCGCTTAAGTTTTTCTTTGAGTTGGGTAACCTCGGCAAAAAGGTTTTCCCGGGCGGACTTAACAGATCTAAGGCTAACATCAAGGTCACGAACGGTAGAACCAAAGAGCCTATTTTGCTCGATAGTTTTCTTGTACTTCTCTTTCAACTGGGCATGTCTCTCCCTCACAGCAGCAAGCTCTTCGATTTTGGAGTTCAAGGCCGCTTCTAAGCCAGTTACTTTTTCGGCAGTAGCAGCCTCACGCTCGGTTGCAGCAAGAACGGCGTCCTGGACTTCAGCCCATTTGGCCTTGACTTCATCAAATCTAACCCTCAGCGGGCCAATTTCTTGGCTAAGGGTTACCACTTCTTGCTCGCTTTGCTACAAACGAGCCTCCAAAACAATGGCTTCAGTAGCTTTGGTTTCCAGTTCTGGGAGGCGGAGGACAGTTTCGTGAATAAGTCAGAAGGGTTCGACCAAGTTCTCCATATACAAAAAAAAAAGGGTAAATTAAAATTACCATGATTTTTGACCTTCCACCCGTATTTAAGGGCCAGTTCTTTCCACAAACGAGTTTTTGGCGTCGTGAGGTCCAAGATATTATGAACCCACCAATCCAAGCCTCCCACCACTGGTGGAATCCATCGAGTTGCTGAAACATGCGAAGGATGAAGAGTCGATACAGCCATAAAAGAATATGTAGTGAAAGAAAATATATTAAATAAAGATCTTACAAGTGCGTTTCCAAGCGGCCGGAAAGGATGAAGCCGTTGTCGCAATTATATTATTGGTGGCAACTGCAACGAACCGTTTCGTCCACCCACTGTCGTTATCATCATCCATGCTAGTCAACAGAGCATGGTGACCACGTTTGCAAAGATTTATCATACCCCCACGGAAAAGTTTGGGAAAGTAGAGATTCATCATACGAGCTAATATTAGTCTTCTCTAGTCTCCTGGCACAAGCGTCGAAGGCAGGCGACCGTCCTCCACACTGAAGGACTTACCTTTGCCAAATACACCTGATAGCGAAGGCAAAACTCCGCAATCACGGAATCAAGCTCTCCACTCAAAGAAAACGCACCCAAAGTAAAGGGAAACGTGTAAAAGTATGTAAAACCTTCCTTAGGATGGGTCACTTGCTCCGATAGATCATGAGCAATGATATCCAACTTTTGGCAGCAGCAGTCTTCCTTCACAGCAGGAATACTGGAAGGACAAATGGAAGAAGGGTACCTACTAACAACCCATGTATGAGGGTTAGCAGTAAGGAATTTCTCTTAAAAGTCCTTAGTGGTACTAAGTCTTCTTGGGATGATGGAACCCTCCGTTGGACGAGCAGAGTCCTCGGCATTGTTCTTGTTCTTTGAAGAACCAGCACGCTTGGAAGAAGAAGCCATTGAATAAGAAGAAGGAAAAGGTTTTTGTTTGAAGAGAATTAGAGAAAGGATGGAGAACAAAGATGCAAATTAGAAGCTCGAGAAATTATGAAGTGCAAAGGAAAAGAATGACGCGTATAATTAAAATTTTGGCGGCTAAATTCATGGCCATGATTACCTCGATAATCGGCAAAAGTTGTACTGAATAGTGGGATGACGCGTGTTCGAGGCATTAAATGCGGAGAGACGTGCGTCTAATCAACCGTCAGAAGCCTTCAGAGGGAGTTATAGTAATTTCCGCCAAAAGAGTATTTCTACCAACTTTCCGGTAACACAAAGTTATGTCACCGGAAAGCAGAGGGACTATATGTATATGACATGTGGTCATCTAAAGGAAAGACACGTGGAACCCAAGACGGGAATGGCCGAAGACCGAACTCAGCCATTCTGCTTGTCACCGGAAGGGATAACGTTCATAAAGGTTTATTAAATGCTCTGTGCCCGATAGCATTTAATTAATAAGGAATATTCTACAGCATTAAAAGTGACGGCCCGTTACAGAAAATTTGGCATTTATGTTCACTGTTACATCTTCATCAATGACCCTCATAATTGACATTAAAGGAGGGCACGATCCTAGGACCTCCTTCCCTAGATACAGCTATAAATAGTGAGCTCATTTATCATTGTAAAGGACATGAATTTTCTGGCTAAACTTACATTACATTTTATACAAAGCTTAATACAATCTTACTTTCCCGCTTTTTGATTTCATTATTGTTGTGCCCGAAAATCTTATTCCCGAAACTGTCATCTCTGTTGTTTCATCTATATTTTAAGGCTAAATATTGTACATTTCTTCAATTATTGTATTATTTCAGGATGAAATTAGTTCAATTGTTTAGAAACCACATATAAATTCAATTATTTACTCGTTCACATGTTGGTATAGGTTAAAAATATATATAATCGTGAGTCAACAGAAGTAAAATGAAGTACTAATCTTTGGCGAGTAAGACAGAGTACATGAAGTAGAAAATAAGTAGGAAAAGAGAACCCATAGCAGGTACACCAACTTGCTAATGGAATCTCTCAAGATAAACAAAACAAGGATGAACAATAATAGAAAACATAACAAACAAGCGCGCCCACACACACAAAAATTATGAATTTGGTTTGTGGTAAGCGTACATAGTGTAAAATGTTTGGAGGAATGTGAGGGCGAAAATTAATGTAAAGTATTGTGAAATTGTATTGACCCATGGCGGACGATCAAAATAGTTGACTTGGAATTTTGCAAGTCGGAGTTTGGGACAAGTGATCTCCTCTTCACCAGCAACTTCCTTAAGAATTCTTGGTACTTTTTCTGTATGTTTCCAACTTCCTTGTATAATTCCATCCAAATGAAGGACTCTGGCATCTTCAGATGTTTGAATCAACTCGTGCATGAATCTCAAATACGACGTCAACTCGCGTTGATTCTCATCAAATTTTTGAGCAGCCTCATAATTTCTCAGAGATTGAAATAGTAGTTTAGTATGCGCATCAACTAAGAATGGAGGCAAGGATAAACAAGGATCGAATGGATAAAACCATCTTTTGAACCTTATCACTTTGATTCCTCTTCGCTCTACGACCTCGAATTTTATGCCTGCTTGGTTCAACTCTGAAGCACTTTTAAACTCTCTTTTCTGTTCAGTTGTACACCCACAGGTCTGATTATTACTCGTGTTGGTCAACACGAGTAATGAATCAGTTCCGCTGTTGCCGGCTTCCAAATCAAGTTCATCATCTGAATCATCTTCGCTTTCGTCTTTAATGTTGTTTTCTGGTCCAAGAAGTCGCAGGTGGAGTCCGTGGAGAATATCACAAGGTTGATACTGCAATTCCCACGCCCAAATAGGGATTCTCATCCCAGTTTTCAACCCCAGCAACAATACAAACTCGTAAAAGACCATCTTAGCTAGATCGGACTCGGGTTTCTCGTAGCTGCCATTTGCTATGATCTTCTGGAAATAGTCTTGATTTATGATTTGTTTGAGAACCAGCAGGGGGATTTGGTTGCCAACATGAAACATAGATGCAATGCATTTACGTTTCTTGACTCTGTTGTGTGAAATTTCTCTGAAGAATTCATGATCCGGAAGATGGTTGTGGATACCAAGGAAAAACAAGGACAGTTGTATGAAAAAACAACTATCTTGTATCATTATCATCCTGAACTCATGTCCTGTCATTTCGGCAAAACTTCTGTCGGTGGAGTCATAACTATTTCTTGCTTCTTTTTCGATTGATCTGATTGAAGATATGTATAAAGCCTTGTTTTTTTCTTCATTTCCAGAAGGGGTTCGCAAAATATGCTGCCAAAGTTTTTCCTTCGCGGCTCGAAAATCGTCCATTTCTGGACTATATAATGGGCCAAATCTGATGAAAGGAGCCGGCTCCGCCGTATGCTTGCATATCCGGCGGCGTAAAAGCTTCTTTGTGCCACCAAACTGAGTTGGCTTGTTCTGCTGCTGCACATTCAACGGCATCTATCTTTCATGAAATTTTAACTATAATGTTTTTGGTAGTACCGTTGTTCTTATGGTATTATCATCAAAGGGACAAGCTGCAATTTGTTAATCCTGTGAAAACACATTTTGGCTATGGAGAGGCAAATTCTATAAAGTTTGACCCAACCTTTTAAAATGTATTTTTTTATCATATTGTATGAGAAAAATTGCCATTTATAATATTTTTTTTATAGTTTTTGAATATTCAAAGTTTAATATTAAAATATTGAAGTCAACTAATCTAAAATTTAACTTGACAAATTGAATGTGTCATCTAATTTAGAATAGACGGAATTTTTAATTCTCTTAGAATTTCCATTTGGCTCTCCCTTTTACCAACCGACAATGCTGGGAAAGTTTTAAGAAACTGGACTTTCTTCCCTACTTCTCCCTAGAAGACTAAAAAATAAAAAAAATAAAAAAAAATCTTGGGAAGTCAGAATGCAACACATTTTAAATTTACAAAAACAATCTTTTAAAGAATACATAAGGGGAATAAGAGAGGGAAATGGACAGAGAATCACAAGTAGGGAACAACAAGATTGAAATTCAAGTAGCTAATGCAATGCGTCGTTTGATGAATGTAAAATTGTTACATGAGAAAGTAACTTTTAGTTTTGCCGTGATTTTACTAAGCTGAGGAACCAAATTCAAGCCTGGTGAAAATATTCTCATTGTGTGTTGTGGTTGATCTAATATTTACTGAAAATAAATACAAATAAATTTTGGAATTTAGGGAGGTCATGATTAACCAACTTGAGATAACTGATTTGGGAATAAATTTGATTTTTTTTTCTGAAATCAAATCCACAAAATATTCTTCGCCGAACTCAAATTTGAGGCAAGAAGTCTTGAATTGAATTTAGAGTAATTAAGAGATTGCAATATCTCGGATAAATGATGAAAATTTATTTAAAAATTGTAATTTTGGCCCTCAAGAAATTAGGCTAGAGTTTGGACATAGATTTAATGAAAACTTGAAAAAAAAATATTTGAAGTTGTGTTGAAAAATAATTTTTGAAAGTTGAAGTTGTGTTTGGACATGCATTTTATTTGAAGTAACTTGAAGTTTTGTGAGTGGAAGAAAAAATTTCACCCAAAAACTACCCTAAACCAATTTTTGGGAACTTGAAAATTTTTGAACTTTTTTCCCAAAACATAATCGTATTTTATAAACAAACAATGTTTTCAAATTTTTATTTTTTTAAAAAAAAAAAGCCAATGCCCAAACGGGAGCTAAATCTTTGAAAAGTTTTCATAACTACAAGTCTTAAATAAGTTGTATTCCGTGTAAATTCCTCTAAATGTTTTAGTCCCCGGTAAGTTATTTGTCCAATACTTCTCCCGCATGGCTATCGCATATTCGCTTAATGAAGTAGTGAATATGAGAGAACAATTAGACAAAACAAAAAAACGTATTGTATACGGTTAAAATCGGTTTCGAATTTCGTATGATTAGTCAAGATGAGAACATAATAGACCGAAGGGCATCTTCATAATATTGAGTATGAGATCTGAAGCCAGGTTACCGAGCTCAAATTTCTGGGACCGATCAAATACCGAGCTCGAATCCAAATCGAACTATGATGCGAAGCGGTGTTATCGAGCTTGAGAGCCAGAGATCGATCAATACCGAGCCCAAGTCAATACTGGGCCCCGAATCAATATCAAGCCCAAGTCAATACCGGGCCCCGAGTCAATATCGGGCTCTAAATCTGGAAACCAACCAAAACCAAGTCCAATCAAGATCGAGCCAAGGGACAAGAGTCGTTACAGCCGCACTAAGGGAGAGAATCTCGGCGGGAATTAAGGAAAAGCTAATCTATCATAGGTTCTCCACTATGTATTTTTAATTATATCCAAAGTAGGATCCCTCTACTATAAGAGGGATGGCTATTATTTCTGTAAGAGGATCCAACATTAAGGCATACATACACTCTCATATTCAGATATTACCATTCACAAAATATAGTAGAGATAAACCTCTTGTGAGCTTTATACATTGATTCATCTTGCTTGTTCATAAAATTATTTTCTATTCAATATTGGTTCGTATTTCATTCTTTATAGTCAATATTCGATATATTTCTACTTACTTTTCTGATTTGTGCTAAGTTATACCACGTACCCTTAGAGTTACGTATAAATTCAACTCTATCAGTTTTTCGGGTAAACAGTTTGGCGCCCACCGTGGGGCTAAGGATAACAATGGTTGTTTGGTACGAATCTCTACAAAACACATCACTTTACGCTTGCTCTAGGAAGTGTCTTTGATTTCAGGTTAGAAATAATGATCTCTCAATTAATGGCCCTACCTATCGACAACGAAGCAGGCCTTCAAGATGAGAACAACAACTTAACCCCCGGGGATGGAAGGCCACTTGTCGATCCCGTTGGAGCTCGGGTCGAAGAGCCAATAGACATTAATTCACATGTGGCCATCGAGGCGAACCAACGTTCTGACCCTGAAAATAGCATTCAAAGTGGAACTCGGTTTGCAGCTCGGAATACCCAAAACGCTGAGGAAAATGGAATCAGCTTGCGTATGATTTTTGAAATATTGCAAGCTCAATAAGTAGCGATAGCCCAGTTGTAGTGCCAAACACATGCACCAACCAGATTCGAGGCCAGTCCACCCCAAGAAGTCACGCACAAAATAGGGCCAGCTATAGTAAGGTCAAATGAGCAAGAATCGGGAACTAATCCTTAAACTATTAAGATGTTCGAAGAACTGACAAAACGAATAGAGTCAGGAGAAAGAAGGATCGAGGCAAATGACAAAAAAGTGGAAACGTATAACTCCAGGATTGATCAGATCCCGGGGGCACCATCGATATTGAAGGGCTTATATTCTAAAAAAATCGTACAAAAGCCTTTTCCCCCCGAGCGCGGCTCCTAAACCGATCCCAAAAAGGTTTTGCATGCCCGAAATTCCTAAATATAATGGAATGACCGACCCCAACGAACATGTCACCTCTTACACATATGCCATTAAAGGGAACGATCTAGAGGACGATGAGATCGAATTTGTATTATTGAAAAACTTTGGTTAAACCCTGTCAAAGGGAGCAATGATATGGTATCATAATTTACCGTCTAACTCTATCGATTCTTTTGCTATGCTTGCAGATTCTTTCGTAAAAGCACATGCTGGGGCCATGAAGGTCGAGACCAGGAAGTCGGACATGTTCAAGGTAAGTCAAAAAGATAATGAGATGCTAAGAGAATTCGTATCTCGTTTCCAAATGGAACGAATGGATCTACCACCGTGTCACAGACGATTGGGCTGTTCAAGCTTTCACTCAAGATCTAAACGAACGAAGCTCTATGGCTTCGCGGCGGCTGAAGCATAACCTGATCGAGTACCCAGATATTACTTGGGTCGATGTGCACAATCAGTATCAATCCAAAATAAGAGTCGAAGACGACCAGTTAGGTTCTAGGACTGTTGTTAAAAGGGACATCAATCGAGAACCAAGGCCGATCAGGGACCGATATCGACCATATAGTGGAGACCATAGGGGGAACGAACCAAGACATAACCCCGTACAAGGCAATAAAAGAAGTGATCAAGGCCAAGGGTCTCGGGGGCTGATGAATAGAAATGGGTTCGACAGGCATACCGGACCTAAGGAAGCACCACAGTTATCGGAGTATAACTTCAGCATCGATGCATCTACTATCGTGTCGGCTATCAGACACTTCAAAGATACTAAATGGCCTCGACCTCTGCAGACTGATCCTGTCCAGAGGAATCCCAATCAAATGTGCGAATATCATGGCACTCGTGGCCACAGAATAGAAGATTGCAGGCAACTGAGAGAAGAGGTAGCCCGGATATTCAATAAAGGGCACCTTCGAGAATTTTCAAGTGACAAGGCCAAAAACCATTTCAAAAACAGGGATTTCAATAGGCAAAACGAACAGGAAGAGCCACAACACATCATCCACATGATTATCGGTGGGATCGATATCCCTCAGGGGCCGGTGCTTAAACACACTAAGACGCCGGTTATAAGAGAGAAGCGATCTCGAGCTTAGGATTACGCACCCATAGGAACCCTCTCCTTTAATAACGAAGACGCGAAAGGAATCACGCAACCACATAACGATGCACTGGTAATATCTATACTTATGAATAAAACTCAAGTTAAACGTGTGTTAATCGATCCAGGTAGCTCGACCAACATCATTCGATCGAGGGTCGTAGAGCAACTCGGTCTACACGACCAGGTCGTGCCCGCAACCTTGGTACTAAACAGATTCAATATGGCATGTGAAACTACTAAGGGCGAAATAATCCTACCAGTTAACGTGGCTGGGACCATCCAAGAAACGAAGTTCCACGTGATCGAAGGCGATATGAGACACAACACCCTGTTAGGAAGACCATGGATCCACAATATGAGGGTTGTACCCTCAACCCTTCACCAGGTTTTTCGGCAAGGTTTTTAATGAGGCAACCATTAATCGTGCTAAACTAGAACAATTCAACAGTATCCAAGGCCTCTTTACAATCAACCTCGAATACTGGGGGCCATTACCGTCGAATATATCAAGTTCGATCATCAAGTTCGAAGCAAGGAAGTTACTTCATGACAACAGGGTTTCGATAGGAAAAATTGTAAGAGCCAAATGGTCAAAACGAACCATGCTCGTGTAGTTTGCTTGATCCCTGGTACAAAACATGAACACATGTATAATGACAAAGAGAAATTTCTCATTTACCGATATCTCATATCTCAGAATCCATCCTTTATTTAGTGATCTATTATGCAAATAGGCTTAAGGGCCGACCATTACCCCATAAATCGGGGACTGCCAACCGAAAAATCAACAAGATCAAGCCCCACATAAGCCTAAGGGCTACGTCATTCACATTACTCCGAGTTCGAGCAATCACTCACTCAACTACTAAGCCTAAGGGCTAATCGTATTTTGAGTTCGAGCAAACACTGACTCGACTATTAAAGCCTACG